TTTTTTTTTTTCAACAAACTGAACAACTTTCAATGGCCAGGAAACGGGCCTGGCGTCCCTCACAAAAAGTGTAACGCGTCTGTGTATAAGCCAGGCATCACCAGCCAAGCTTAGAAGCAGGCCCGCAATTGCAATCCTTACGTCCTAAAAAAAAAAAAAAAAAAAAGCAATCCTTACGTCCTACTTCAACCTTTCTTTTTCTTTTTTTTTTTCCCCAGCAGTGGGAACAATGGAGGGGGCATCTGCTCTTATCAGCACCTCCCCCACACCCGTGGTTGATGTTTTAAAAAAAGAAAAAGAAAAAAAAGAAAGGAGTTTCCACCTTTCTCATATTCCTCCACAACTGATATTTAGGAAAAGTAATCTACTAAAACTATTCTAGGAGGGAGATTTATATATAAAAAAGGAAGATAAAAGTATGAAAATGATATAAAACAATTAGTAGCCGTTATGCCCCCCCCCCCCCCCCCCCCCCCCCCCCCCAAAAAAAAGGAGATTTTATTTTCAAGCTTGCCCATTACTGGTGGTTTAAACCAGCAGTCCCTTTCCCGGCTATTTTGTTCGGACATGGGTTAGGTAATGTTGTGTTGGGGAGAAGAGGGGTAGTTTTCCAAGACTAGCATGCCGCCCCTCTGCTGGAGAGGGGGTCTCTGTTGGGCTGCAAGGGGGGTGCTGTTGAGGGTGACAGAAGCTGGGTATGGTTTTAGACTCTAGTAAAGTATTTGTATTTTTTAACCACCAGTACTTGGCCTGACAACTTGTTTTTAGACGGGAGTGTGAAACTAGTACCTTTGCCGAGTGGGAAAATAGCGGGCCTCAGGTGGGCCTCCGACCTTTTAGGAGGGCCGCCGAACAGCCTGTTTTCCTTAATTCCCCCCCCCCCAACACTGGTGGAGGTACTAGTGCTTTTATGCGCTGCATTGTTCGGGGCTCAGGTACCGGAGCAAAATGGCTGGCGCCTATTTAAGCACCATTACTTGGCCCGACTATTGGTTTTTACTCCGGGGTGTTAAAGCACCAGTACACCATATATAGGCCCGCGGGTGTCAGTGTGGAACCTGCACCACTTTGGAGGCCGCCGATTTATTTTTCCAACGGCGCCCCGTGCCGCACGTCCCCTCCGAGTCTTGCTTGTGGCGACAAAAACTTTTTGCACGGCTGGGGCCGTTTACTGGCGGTTTAATGCGCTGCGATTTTCTGGGCCCAGGGGTCTGGTCCCACCTACCGTAGTTGAGTTTAGAAAACTTCAACGGTGTGATGCCATTTCGATATTAATAAATTCGGAACAAGCAAAAAAAAAAAAAACGCTAGAAACAGCTTTTCTCCTTATTTTTGATAACGTAACTCGGAGAAATGAAACATGTCTGGAACAGTCGGAGTGAATGTCTCCGTGAAAAAGGGATACTGCCCGTGGTGAGGGGACAGGAGGTCACCATTTGTAAAATGGACAGGGACAAGGTGGATGGCCAAATGCATTCATCGCCCAAGGAAGGAAACGGGCTTATTGCCACAGAGCCAAACGGAGCTGTCAGAGTCCACAGAGCCAAACGGAGCTGTCAGAGTTCCTCCGTTTCAGGATGTAATGATGCCTAAAAAAAACATAAAAAAAGGAAAGGCACTGCGGTTGAGAAATGTACCCTATCCTCGGTAGGGTAGTTTTCTCAATGGAAAATGGTTTCCCGCCCAAACCAAAAGGGCCAAAACATACTACAAAACGGATTTCACGTCAAAGAAAAATTCTACAAAAAGACAAAATCTAGTAGGTTATTCTCCTGTATTTCGGTACCATTAGATCCCAATACATCAATGGCAGATCTCCGTCCCACCATGCCACACGTGATAGAAAGCTCAGCGTTGAGAAAACTCAACGCTGTAGGTGGGACCAGACCCCAGGTGCCAGAGCAAAATGGCTGGCGGCGCCAACCGTAAGAAATTGCGCTGCTTTGTTTTCTTTTGGCGCGCAGCGTGTTTCCAGCCCCAGAGAAAAGTGCCGCGGAAGTACTGGTGGTTTAAAAGACCAGTACCCCAGGGGGTATTAGCCCCCCTCTGACGCAAATGCATATGGATGCGCGTGGTGCACTGATTGAGCCTCCGGCCCTCTGCCTTAACGCCTAAAAACGCGGTAGGTACTGGTGGTTTAAAACACCATTTTGCCAAAAGCTAAGTCGGGCTCTTACGGGTGTACACGGCAAAGATTCTAGCGGTTAGTGTCCTGTGCAGGCCAGTTTGAAACAGCCCGCCGGTTGGAGGCTTGCAAATCTTGGAACGTAGCTACATACAAACAGCCTCGTCTGAACTGGTGGTTTAAAGCCCCAGTATGGGCCGTATGGGGCACCCTTTTTTTTTTTGTCATTCTTTTTAAGGCTGGACAGAGACTGCTATGGGGCACCCGAGTTTGCGGAACCTAGTCTTTTTGCTCCGGAACGAATCAAACCAGTCTCGGCCAGTCTGGGACATCGGAAACGCGCCTCCTTGTGTACCCCCGGTATTTTCGTAGGAGCGGGCTCGTACTGGGGATTTTGCAGGAGGGAACTCGTAGCGGTGGTAATGTAGGAGGGGTCCCGTAGTGGTGGATTCGGAGGAGGGGATTCATAATGGATTGTTCAAGTGCAGGGGGCTCGTACAGGCGGTTTAATGGGACGCTGGGCCAGTTTGCAGCCATTTTTCTCCGACGCTGCCGTGCATGTGCTGCGACTTTTGGGGTTTATCCTACATTAGTGGAATCGCTGTCGGCACCAGCCCAAAAACCACCCTGGGCAGGGTCGTTTTCGGGGGGCAAAGGAAGCCTGCAAGTACTGGTTTGAAATTGTGGGCCCGGAAAAGCTGCCTACCAGGGAGAGCTCTACAGACTGTTTGTTCACACCCCATCACAAGACTATCACTCACCCACACCAGATGGAAAACTCTACAGACTGTCGGTTCACACCCCATCACAAGCAACAACCAAGCAAAACATCCACAAAACAAAGAAAGGTCTGTCACAGCCAAAAAATACACTCTGGACACGCCGTTGGCACTAGAGGCACAGCATGGCCGCGTAGTGACGACGCCGTTGGCACTAGAGGCACAGCATGGCCGCGTAGTGACGGCCCCGACCACTATACATTTTTCGGCCTGGCCGGGCAAGTGGTCCCCGCCCACTCTGGGAGCCTAGCATTCATGTGTATTTTACTATTTTTGTTCGTTTGGCATGCATTTTTGTGTACATGGCCCCAAGAAATGGCATTTACGAATCTGTTCTCATGTCTCGACTGAGTGTATGGGCCTTGCGGCGACACTCACCAAATATGGAAAATGAGAATGAATCATCCACTAGAATATGGAAAGATACACCGCCATACTTCTTGCCTTTCTCACATTTGGTGACTGGTGCGGCTAGGCCCTATGCCCATCAGAGTCTATCTTGTAGATAACACGTAAGTGCAGTAAATGCAGTGACAGACTGTTGGGATTGTCTTTTTTTTTTTTTTTTGTGTGTGTGTGTGTGTGTGGGAACTTTGGTGGAGGGGACCACCACTTGAGGAGGTGGTACGAGCTCCCTCCTAAAGTGCCCCTCCAGTTTTGAGACTATCTTTTTTTTTTTTTTTTTTTTTTTCCCTTCTACAGCAGCTATGGTTAAACCACAAGTACTTGACCCATACATCGGCCGCGGGCCCCCCGAGTGCAAGTTCCGGAGGCCCGAAACGCGACGCGGGCCATCGATGAAACGGATCGGCGCTGGCTCGTGCCGACTCCCCCACGCCGACTCGAAAACTTGCACCTGTAAACGAGAGCGCTATTTTTCTTTGGCTGGGCCAAGTACTGGTGGTCTAAACCACTAGTTCACCCGAGCGAGGGTCGAGCTCTCACCGGTATAAGCAGTGAGAGCTTTTGGATCCGGGCCCGGGCCCATAGGGAAGGTGGAAGGCCAATATCAAAAGTCCCAGTTGGAGGCTCGCGTGCCTTGAAAGGTAGCTTCGTGAACATAGGCTCGTTTGAACCGGTGGTTTATCATTATGTCACAAGTGGTTAACTAGGACCCCCCCACTTCCAGCTCCTGACTAAGGGGTCCAAAACTGAAATTAGGGTTTCAAATTGGGGGTTGTCTGAAAATTGAGGCCTCCGTTAAGCCCCTCCCCATTATGTCTTCCTGGTGCATCTAATCACTGTGGGCTTTATCTTGTCATGTCATTTGTGACTCTTACCATTTTCTGGAAACCAATCAGATATGGCGACTACTCGTTCCAGACCGTGGAAGGACGAGTGTTTGCGATCTTCTGGCTGCTGGCCGGTACAGTTGTGATTGGATGGTGTTTCGTCGAGCTTACAAATGCAAAGTTAGAGACACAGAAGCAAATCCTTCAGAAGCAACTGATCGCCAGAAATATTAAGGAGGAGGATTTCATGGTGGCCGACCTGGACAAGGACAGCCGCATCCACGAGTCCGAGTTCATCGTCTTCAAACTGAGAGAAATGTCGAGAGTAACGGACGAGGAGATAAAAACGCTGAGGGAACGTTTCCGGGTCCTGGATAAGAATCAGGACGGCGTCCTTGAAATGACGAAAAGTGGGCACTACATGTGAGGTGCATGAAGAAGAAGAAGAAGAAGGAGAAGAAGAAGAAGGAGAAGAAGAAGAAGAAGAAGAAGAAGAAGAAGAAGAAGAGGAGCTAGGTGAACGTTGTTGCGGTTTTCGAGATACGAATCATATGCCGAAAAGAGTGTGACCCTTTCCGATGCCTCCTCACAGCTCCAGCAAAGGGCCTCAGTGACGGACAGGACAGCTGTCAGTGAGCAAAGTTGTTCGGGAAAAAGTGTAAGGACTCGGGTCGGGAGCCGCCACGGGGCCGATGCGTACATTGCACCGCTTTGCGTTTTTCATGCAGTTGTGAGGGCACACTCACACAAGGTCGTTACCAATCGCAGAATCGCAAAATCAGTGGCCAGGAAGAGTCCTTCTAAAAGGAGGACTTGATCTGGCTGCTGATTTTGCGATTCTGTTATTATAACGACCTTGTGTGAGTATATACTCTGATTGGAGATACTTCTCTCTCTCTCTCTCTCTCATGATGACTGTTGTCTGGTCAGACACCAGGCGATTGTCAGGTCAGATGTCGGGCGATTATCAGGTCAGATGTCAGGTGATTGTCAGGTCAGATGTCAGGTGATTGTCAGGTCAGATGTCAGGTCAAATGCCAGGCAATTGTCAGCTCAGATGTCGGGCAATCGTCAGGAAGATGTCAGGCAGCTGTGAGGTCAGACGTCAGGTGATCATCAGATCATATGTCAGGCGATTGTCAGCTAAAATGTCAGGCAATTGTCAGGTCAGATGTCAGGCAATTGTCAGGTCAAATGCCAGAAAATCGTCAGGTCAAATGCCAGGTCAGATGTCAGACAGTTGTGAGGTCAGACATCAAGTGATCATCGGGTCAGATGTCAGGTGACTGTCAGGTCAGATGTCAGGTGATTGTCAGGTCATACGTCATGCATTTGTCAGGTACAGATGTCAGACAGCCGTGATGTCAGACGTCAGGTGATCATCAGGTCAGCTGTCAGGCGATTGTCAGGTCAGATGCCAGGCATTTGTCAGGTCAGATGTCAGGTCAAATGCCAGGTCAGATGTCAGACAGTTGTGAGGTCAGACGTCCGGTGATCATAAGGTCAGATGTCAGGTGATTGTCAGGTCACATGTCAGGCAATTGTTTTTTTTTTTTTTTTTTTTTTGTCAGGCAATTGTTAGGTCAGATGCCAGGCAAACACCAGGTCAGATGTCAGGCAACTGTGAGGTCAGATGTCACGCAAGTGACGCAACCATCAGGTCAGATTAGTCGCTGCCACGCGTGCATCTGGGGAGTAAAACTCTCTCCCCAGAACTTGTGATCGTGGTGCACGCTCTCGCTTGCTTTCCTGCATTCTCACGGCGTCCCCCCCGTTAGTGCGCACTCGTCGCGAGTTGGAGAGTTGGGTCGTGGAGAGGAAGTGCAGCTATGAAGCTAAAACGACAAGTGTTTGGACAGGTGTGACAGCTCTCCGTGCGCTCTCCGAGTTCGCTGAAAGTGCAGAGTGGTGTAGTGAGACCCATGCTCTCGATTCAGGATTGGCTTTGGAAGACCAAGGTATACTAGCTGAATGACAACTAGATCAACTGCAGGCGAATAAATGCTCTCGATTGTGGATCGGTTTTGGAAGTTCTGCTGCTCCGAGAAAGGGCCAGCAGACGGTGGCGCGGGTTTTCACTGACCTCTCTGGTCTCTGTCTGCTGCTGCAGCACGCTAAGGCTGAACGACAAGCGGATGAACTCCAGCTTCACTCTGACGAATGCTCTCAATGATCAATTGCGAAGGACGGACCGTCGGGACCGCAACTGGACGAAGGTATGGCTGAACGACAAGCAGATGAGCTCCAGCTTCAGTCTGACGAATGCTCTCAACGATCAATTGCGAAGGACGGACTGTTGGGACCGCAATTGGACGAAGGTACGGCTGAACGACAAGCAGATCAACTCCAACTTTACTTTGGCAAATGCTCTCGATGACGGACTGCGAAGGAACACAACTGCACCATGTCCGTCATCTGATCATATACACCCCCTCTACTGTGGCTGCTGAAACATCTGACATTCGATGCGAGGACTGTCCGATGAATGGTGCACACCCCTCTACTGGCTGCATACTGTCTGACATGCAGAGCTGTCAGGTCTGTCAGATAAAAGGTACACCCCTCTACTGACTGCACACAGTCTTACATTGGATGTCAGATTTGTCAGGTGGAGTGATTATGAGTAGGATGTGGCAGATATTTTTCCGGTTATCTTGCAGCTCTCTGATGAGCAGGGGCTCGCTCCCACCGACTCCACGAGCGCGCGTTTTCACGCGTTTTTTCGTTTTTGGCCGTCGGTCTTCATGATCTACTGCCCCAATTGAAAAGCGCGCACTAGTAGTGGGACCCTGCCGCAGATCTGATTCAGAGAGCTGAGAGAAGGGCTTGCAACCGTTGTTCGGATTCCCGCGCCGAGAAGATCCGATTTGTGTGTTGCAACTGGGATATTGTGTGCTGCAGCTCTACGGGGCAGTTTCTGGAGTGTCAGGCGTCAGCACCGCTGTCATGCCAGTTACATGTAAGGGGGTTGTCTGATGGCAGTGATGGGGTTTCTCTGATATCCTTTGGCAGGCTGCTCCTCGCTGGTGGAGCACATTGACGCGCGATGAGAGAAAGGTTCGCGATGCTCGGTCGAAAATGCAATAGAATGTTAGAATGATCATTTTATTATTTTATTTTTATTAATATTAATATTATATTAATTTTGTAATTGCTATTTTGAAAGGGTGACGGCCGCGGCGGCCTTGAGATATCATCATCGAGCTGACCTGCCATCTTAGTCTTTTGTTTTGCTCCTGTACTGGCAATTCTATTTTTATTTATTTATTTATTATTTTTTTTTAATTATTTTTTAATTATTTTTTTTTGTTTTGTTTTTGTTTTGTTTTGCTCCTGCAGGCTCGAGGGGCCTTTAAAACACGGCTCTGGTATGCTACGGGTTTCCCCGTATGCCTATAGGTAGGTAGTGTGAGGAAAAATTGAGAGAAGAGTATAGTTTAAAAGAAAAAGAAAAAAAAAAAAAATTCTTTTTTTTTCTTTTTTTTTAAAAGTAAGCTATATTCTTCTCTCGTCTATCTCATCTTCGTTGTTGTTTTTTTTTTTTTTTTTGTTTTTGTTAAAAGAGAATCATCTTTTATAAAACCGGGAAACGGGCCCGGTGTCCCTCACATGAATTCCGTAGCCAAACCAGGCTGGGAAAGGCACTTTCGGCCAGTCCCATCCCCAACCACGGACCTCCCATAGTGAAGACGCCTGTCTTCAGCCCATCCCGTGCAAATCTCTAGTTGCTAACCCTAGTCTATGTTAATACTAACGTAGAATTTAATCTTATTCCAATATATCAATTAATTCTATGTTATCAAAACAACCACACAAATTCCTGACCTATTCCCTGATACAATTACCGTACTCATCCCTAACCCTAAATTATCTACAAAGCAACAACCGTAATCATGAGTAATTCCCAACACAATTTAAATTCCCAATTAAGGACTAATTAACCAAAACCTAAAACTCGTCAAAAAGTGTAAATCACCGCAAAAATTAAAACCAATTTCGAGCAAAGCAGATTTCCTATAAACCAAATGTCCGGTGCTGAAAAAAACTCATTAAAAAAAGGAAGAGTGTTCGTTCGTAAAAAAAGAAAAAAGAAAAAAAGAAAAAAGAAAAGAAAAAACTGCCGAGATTCCGGTTGCTTTCTTTGACTGGTGATCACATTGACTTTTTCTTTTTCTTTTTCTGTTTAAAAAGCACGGGCCCGTGCCCTAAGCTCGTTTTTTTTCTTTTTTCTTTTTTCAAATCCTCTTTTTCTTTCAGTGCCGATGGCTTCTAAATTCTAATTCTTCGGAGGAACTACCATTCACAAGTGGTTAACAGGTACCCCCACTTTTCAGCCCCAGGCTGACCCCCTTTTCAGCCCCAGTTTGACCCCCTTTTCAGCCCCAGTTTGACCCCCTTTTCAGCCCCAGGCTGACCCCCTTTTCAGCCCCAGGTTGGCCCCAACAACCCTGAAAATTTGTGAAAACTGAAAAGCACATTTGGTGATAATTTTTTTGAGTTTTTTTTTTCCCTTTTTTTTGCCCTGTTTTGTTTTGGGTAAACTCTATGGACTGGTGTCAAGTCTGGCTTAAAAAGGTGTGGGGTATTTGTTTTAATGAGCCCGGAAATTAAGGGCTCTTTTAACCATCTCTCAGTGCCCAAGGCCACCTCGCCCCAGTATTATGGTTTGATGAGCCTCGACGACTGCTCCATGTGATAAATTCTGATTCCTTTTTCCTTTTTTTTTCTCTTTTTGTAAACCACGAGGACCTTGAGATATCATCATCGCTCGAGCTGACCGCCCCTGCACACTTCAGAATTGCAGTACTTGACTCTTTTTTTTTTTTTTTTTTTTTTTTTTTTTTT